TGCAAGCAATACTATCACTGTGTCAAAACTATTCTTCTGAGGGAGGTGGCAAATATTGCCTCCCTCGGTTACAACAAAATCCTGAATTTTGCTGTCAACATCTTCATCCCTCTGCAATAAGAATAAATGTTGAAATTTTAGAAATTATTATAACAATAATCAAAACACAGCAAACAGCGCCCACACATAAAAAGTCAGTATGGTCATCAGTCCTGTGTCCTCTTAACCGATACTATAGTCAAAATAATGTTGGTTTGATTTTTTTTCCAGTTTACGGGCATGCATGTATGGTATACTGTATAAATTATGGTTTGTTGTAATATTGGTTAGATAGATAGATAGATAGATAGGTTTATTAAAAATCCATTGCAGCCCAAGGGCTGGATTACGGACTGTACAATACGTTGAATACTAAGACTAACTATTATAAATCAATAACAGTAAATAAATAAAACAAAGGAACAAAGATACTACGTCATGAAATTTAAGAAAATAGCCGCGAATTTACAATAAAACCATTAGAAAATAGCCGCGTTATGCATGATAAAACTATTCATTAGTCTATTTGTTCTACAAAGAGGCACGTTAAAAGCGCGCTTTCTCCTTAAGGCTACAGTACTAAGATTACGTGGCGGCAAAAGGCCATGTAATTTGTGGAGGCTGTTGTCCTTAATCTCATTGAATAGGCGCTCTGTCAGCCATTGGCGCGGTTGATGGAGGGTGGTAATATTGCACTCTTTGAGAGCCTCTTGATAGCCTAAATCTGGGAAAATAATTCTAAGTGCAGGGCGCTGAATTTTCTCTAGCTCTTCAGAGAGATACTCAGGCAGACCATTGTGGAAAACTTGGCAGGCATATTCAGACATGGGCCGGATACACGTAGTATAGAAACAAAGTAGCTGCGCAGGATCTCCTTTTGCACGCTTAAGCTGCCTTAATAGATATAGCCTAGAGGCTCCTTTTTTGATAACATTCTCTATGTGAGCGTTCCACTTTAGATTGTTTGAAATTATGAGACCAAGAAGTTTTGCGCTAGTTACAACCTCAATTGGTTTGTTGTTAATAGTAACTGCTTCGAAAGGATCTACAGACCTTGAGAGACTTATCTGCAACTCTTTACACTTGGTCTCATTCAATTGGAACTTATCTATTTCGGCTTGCCTAACTAGGTCGTCTACAGCAAATTGGATTCCACTTGATTGGCCCTTGTGGACTGTCTCGGCCATCGATGTGTCATCGACGTACTTCCAAAGGTTGACGCCATTGACATTGATGTCATTTATCATTACCAGGAAGAGCCAGGGCCCCAATTTGGTTCCCTGCAGGACACCTGCCCTGACAGATCCCCAATCCGAGTAGCAATCGTGGGCGAGTTTCACTCGTTGCTTCCTGTCAGTAAGAAAATCTGCAATCCAGTCCAGCACCCAAGGTGGTAGCTCATAGTCAGTAAGTTTAGCCATAAGAATGGCGTGGTCGATGAGATCGAATGCTTTCCTAAAGTCAAAGAGCACCACGCGCACTGTAGAACCGTTGCCGTCAGTATTCTTATACCAGATGTGGAGCATGCTGATTAGGGCATGCACTGTGCTGGAGTTCGGAACAGTTCCATATTGGTTCTGGTCAATCTTCGCAAGGACGGCAGGCTTGATGTAGCCGTCAAAGACAAGCTCTTCCCCGACTTTGGAGAGAATTGGAGTCAACGAAACGGGTCTCAGGTGTTTGTTCACATCGCTAACAAGTGAAGTCTTCGGGAGGGGTGTAATGTCCGCTTTCTTCCACGAAGTTGGAAGGCGACGCTCCAAAAAGGAAGAATTCAAGATGTCTGCCACTGGTGCAGCCAATAAGTCCGCGTTTTCTTTTAATACCCAAGAGGGGATTCCATCAGGTCCAGATGCTTTGTTCGTATTAAGCGCCGATAGTTTCTCAAAGACTGAAAACTCAGATATCGGACGGGGAAGATCTTGTTGGCATGCACACGCGCGCGCACGCGCGTGTGCATCATGCGTGACTAGAGGGGTGAAAGCGGTCATTGGTGACAAAAAAGCGTCGTTAATAACATTGGCCAAATGTTTAGGATCTTCCCCCTCATCGGCAAGATGTAGAAGGTCTGCGATGGGGCTCGCGCGCTCGACCTTAGAAAAACCACTTAGCTGTTTGATTTCCTTCCACCATTGGGCAGGTTTACAAGCCTTAAGATCTTTGACTTTGGCATCATAATACTTTGCTCGACACGCCTTCCGATCTCTGTTCACTTTATTCCGGAGCTGTTTGTACTCAGCCAGATTGTTGTTGGCCAATGCCTTTTGCCGGCGGCGAATAAGGCGTTTAAGAGAGTTATTCATCCATGGCGCCTCGTTCACTGATATCGACTTTTCTTTCAAGGGCATGATTGCGTCCATTCCGGAAATGATAGCTTCTTCCATTAACTGTACTTTCTCATCACATGTATCTTTGTTCTTAACAAGGTCGGCGATGTTGACTTTTTCCAAGTATGAACTCAGAGCGACCCTGTAACTTTCCCGCTGGTCTCTTGTAATGATGGATCGTTTTAGTGGTTGAGATTTACAGCGAGACAAGGGCTGGAGTTCAACAGATGCGTGATCTGACAGACCAAAAGCTGGGCGTTTTATTGGCTCCTCATAGAATTCTTTGATGTTGGTCAAGACGAGATCCAGAGTCTGATTTCCTCGAGTATGGAATTTGACAATTTGTTCCAGCTTAAAAGCGTTGATAAAACTCGAGGTATCGAGTCTGTTAAAATCCCCCATGATCAAAACTCCACAATTTGAAAAACGCGATTCAGTTGTAGACATTGAGTCGTAGAGATAGAGCAAGATCTCAGAGTCAGAAACGCCTTTCTCTGTCTGTGGATGGTAAAAATTGGCAATGATTATACAAGATAATCCCCTAGGGAGGCGCGAAGGTCGTAATTGAAGCCAAGTTGCTTCAATTTTATCATCATGTAGATCTTCTAAAACGGTATACTTCAGCCCTTTCTTGATGTAGGTACAAACGCCTCCGTGTGTAACGTCTATCCTGTCTCTTCTCACTAAGTTATACCCAGGAATACAGACGACATTGTCGTGAATGTGGTCGCGCAACCAGGTCTCTGTTATGCAGGCAATGTCCAAATTTGCATTTGTAATAACATCAGAGACTTCATCCACTGACATTACGTTCGACAATAAGACAGACGGAACGTAGACTTTCCTCGCTTCTTGTTGGTTTTGTTGTGATGGAGAAATGGTTATACAATTAGCCATGTTTCGGTGTCGCCGGGAGCTTCGTGAATGGTTGATACGGTTGGTTAGCTGCGCTTCGATGGGATAACGACATCTGTTTGCTCTTTCCCTCACTCGGCGGCCGGCTCTTATCCCTCTAAAACAGGGCCACATGCGCCTAACATCCTTGCAAAGATTTCGAAACTGATAAAACTCCATAAGACTTAAAAATAAAATAAAATAATTTTTTTAGCTGCCTTATCTAAAAAAAATATTGTTTGGGGTGGAAGTAACTCCTGCGTATCAGGTGATAAAAACTGTTCAAAACAGATCAACTGTGGCTCTACACGCTATCCCACTCCATGCCGCAACTGCTTCAAAATGTAATTAAAGGGGGCATGCCGGTTACTGAACCTCTGAAGACATTTACTCGACAGAGCAATAAACATCTTCTAGAAATTCCATGTAAAAATAAAGTCTGAATCAAAAGTTATAAAGTGTTTTCACGTGACGTCACAAAGTTCAAAATTTTCCCGCAAAAACTCCCGCCGCCATGTTAGTGTCCATTCGCGGCTTATAAATCTCTTGTGATCTACGGTCATTTACATTACAAAAGATGTCGCTCCCCAATTGTCTGAATATGCAAATACACTTGATCCTCTTGTTAAGAAAAGGTACATGCAGAAAATAGCGTGCATTGGAGTCGATCCTTTTCTAATTTCATGCCAAAAATACGATGCCGAATGTCTTCCTCCCACCGAGTCGATTGACCTCGTTTCGTATCTTGTTCTTGAAACCAGTCACTACACTAAGGAACAATTTAAGGCCGTTAAAAGCCTTCAAGCATATAACCAGTTGGTCTCTGGATTTGTACAAAGTGTCCACGGACTTATCATTGCCGGTAAGCATGTTGTTTTGGGAAAGGTTCGCCACTCTCAAAAGATGAACGACCCAGCTGTTCCTCTGTGGATCATCACCGTAAATGACGGAAGGATTTTATGTGCACATTGCCGCGGATGTATGGCTGGGAAAAGGGAAACCTGCTCCCACATTGCTAGCGTCGTATTTTATATTGAAACTTTTAACAGAATACGAGGAAAGCTTGCTTGCACTGATAAACAATGTGCGTGGATACTGCCAACCTACAACAAAGACATACCATTTGCTGAAGTTCAAGACATCGACTTCAGGTCTGCCACTAAGCTGAAGCAAAAACTTGACGAAACAGTAGAAAAACTTGATGATACTGCTTCATGTTTTGTCCCTGGAGATTCGAAAACTACCGAGAAACAGAAAAAGGACATTCAAGCTCCAACTGAGGCTGAGTTAAACTCCTTCTACGAAGCGTTGAACACATGCAAGAATAAGCCGGTTGCACTTAGCTTAATTTATCCGTACTCCGAGTCCTTTGTTACAAAGAGCAGAACTGTCCAAGCTGTCCCACACCTATTTGACAAGAAGTATTTAAACACGCAATATAATGAACTTCTGGAGATCTGCGCTAAAGTAGATATTGAAATAACGCCTGAACAAGTAAAAATCAATGCCTTTTTCCGACATCGAGCGGGGCGAATCGAGGCTTCCATTAGCAAGCAGGCTTGTCAAACTAACCCAGCTCAGCCATCCCATTCCCGTATTAAAACGATATGCTATCCCCACATTTTTAGATTTAGCAATGCTGCTACAGAACATGGCTGCAAGAATGAAAAACAAGCTCTAGCTGCATATGAATTAGCAATGAAGGAGAGGCATGTGAACTTCAAGGTCAAGGAGTGCGGAATGTTTGTAAATCAGGAGTATCCTTGGCTACATGCCACTCCAGTTTCTCTGTGCAGCTGCAGCTGTGACTGTTGTGGTGAGGGGTGTGGCGAAATTAAGTGTCCTTACTGTTTAAAGGACTTGGATTTTCAAGAATACCTCACTAAGCAAGACGATCAAGGAAGACCATCAATATTATTATCAACTCCAACAGCAACTCTTTACAATTGGGAAAAAGTACAATGACTTTGTTGTTTGCAGTTTGATGCTGGGGCAGTATGTTTTTGCAGGAATGAAACAGGAGAGGCTGTTGTTCATTGTTCTAATACAGCATGCCCTATTTCATCTTACCACTTGTCCTGTATTAAACTCACAGGAGTGCCAAAGAACTAGGTGTGCCCTCTGTGCCACAAAGGTTCACCACCTCAAAGGCCATCAAAATTCAAAATCACCTCAAAGGCCATCAATGTCAGATGACACAACAAAGAAAGCTGTCAAACTAGACACAGCTATCTGTGTATACAATCAGAAGGCCACAGCAAATGATAAGCTGATAGAATGCCACAACAATCCTTGTATGAATGGAAAGTTTTTCCACTTGTCATGCATGAATTACAAGCCCAAGCCTAACAACGCCAAAACAACTTGGATTTGTCCAAATTGTAGTGCAGCAAACCTTTATGACACTAAGGCTAAGATAACAGTTAAAAATAGTAACAGTGTCAGAGCATCTACATGTAACAGTGTCAGCACACCCAACGAGGAAATTTAAATGATCGTCACTTGAAGCTAATTTTATCACCAACTGGACGGTTGAATGATGACATTATTCTAGAGGTTCATTTAAATCTCAAGAAGATTGATCCTACCATACAAGGTTTAGAGGATCCTGTATTAGGTCCTGTCCGTCAATTCAAAAAGGTTATTAACCCTTTTGTGCAGATTCTGCATACAGGCAGGTACCACTGGGTATGCATTAGCTCAGTAGGATGCAGTAATGGTATTGTCAATTTGTATGACAGTTTGTATCACAATGTAATATCAAAGGAAGTTGAAGAGCAAGCTATAAACCAAGTTGTAACTGATAGTTTTTCTCGTCTAATTGTTGTTCCAATCCAACAACAGAGAAATGGATCAGACTGTGGTGTATTTACCGCTGCATTTGGGACAGCTTTGGTTCATGGTGTTTCCCCTAACTTGCTGGAGTTTCATACTACAAAACTGAGAAATCACCTTTGTGCATGTTTAAGAGCAGGAAGAATGGATATGTTCCCTTTTCTCTGAGTTTAGAAAATCAGACAGTGTATGTAGTACACCATCTGAGATTCATTCCACATTATTTTGTATATAATGGATTTAATTTGTTTTCATAAATTCGAAAATTAATTTGCATCTCTCCCTCCAAGGCCTAATCATGCTTTCCAAAATCAGAACTTTCAACATTAGTTACCAATAATTACTGCTTTCAAACAGCTACTAGAAAAATACAGCACCTGACATGGCCCCCTCTTGCATCAAAGTTAAAACCTGTTATATTTCCTAATTGAAGGGATGCGTGGAAAAAAGCCTGGTGACTTCTCATAATTTGCTGGATTGTCCTTTCAAATCAATGTCTGATTATTTGTGAAAGAAAGAAATAATTGACATCACCTCACGAGTCAATAAATATTTATTTATTGTAAGGCTTCGATCCATGCACCCTTTCAATATTTCAAGTAAAAATGAAAAATTTTAAATCATTTTTTCCCAAAAATGTATGCACAATGGACCCTTTGCAAAATACAGTCATGTGGTACAAAAAACACCTTGCTGGAAGGCAAACAAAGCAATGGGACCTTGAAAAGAAAGGATATTAGCTTTTTGAATGATGTAATCTCTTTGTTTTTCTTGCTCCACTGCATTTTTGCCATCCAGCAAGGTGTTTTTTGTACCATGTGACCATATTCAGCATAGGTGCGAAAAGAGACTCTATGGGTACTTCACGCTTAGTGTAACGAGCTTGTTTAAAACACTGCGATTTTACAGCTGCTTTGGATAGGCATATTACAGAGACATCTGTTGGAAAGACTGAAAGGATAGGTGTTTGTGAAATGTAAACGTAATGGCAGGTTTTCCAGAAAATCGAATCAGGTAGCATTCTTGGACATTCACAAGGGTATATTTTCTCTAGACCTCAACATATTGTTTTTTTGAATGGGTGCCTGTTAAATAACTAATAACTCGTGATAAACACCTACACATATTCACTTATGTTTGCTTTTGTAACAAGTACAGCGACTGAAAATGGATCTAAATTCACTTAGGCATCTTTTCCAAACACCCCTTCATGTTAAAAACTGTCAGCTAAGTTTTAGAAAGTGTTGATGCAACATAGAAGCTAGTATTCAGGAAAAAGTACACGATTGACAAAAAAGAAACTAAGCATTTGTATACCCATTTTTCTCCAGTTACAACTGGATCCAATACCCCATCCACACCAACTAAACAGGTTTAATTATACAAGGATTTGAAAATTTAAAACCAGTGACAGAAATCTGGCAAACAGGCTCATGCACAGGATTTAAATGAACTCAAACACACTCTGTAATTTTCACAAATTGTAAGAGAGAAAAGTCAGTAAGTAGCTTTTACGCGAAAATCAATTTTAAACCATGTTTAACTAAACAGCTTTTAAACATGTTTATGCTTTGGTGTGAATGGGGCAAAACATATTGAAAAAAATTGTTGAAACAACACCCAGGTGAATCAGGGGACCTATAAAAATAATTATATACATTTTTCAGTCAAATGGTACCACAGATGGGCAAAGATTTATGAGGGCACAGCAGACTCTGATCAATCTGTCCACCATAGGGCAGCACCTGTTTCTCTCCTTATCTGAACACAGCAGATAATCAATAGGTAATATACTCTGCAACACAGTGTACTTTTGTCTCAACAAACCAATCACCCTTTCTACATGTATACGTACATTGGCTATTCCTCTTGTCTTTTCGACAGAGACAGGATCCAACTGCCTCTTTCCCTTTGGTGAAGGCTGGGATAGCGAGTTTTGCTTGATATAGTGACAAATTCTCTTCAATGGTAAACCCTCTGTTGGCCATGACTAAATCACCAGGCCTTAAATTCGTAAGCATTTCACGATGTTCAGTTAGGTATTTATCAGACGTTCGACCACCCCAGGCTTTTGACACGAAGCAAACAGATCCTTGCGGGGCTATCCCAATAAGAACCTTAACAGTTTTGTGGCTCTTATAATGAGAATATGTCTGGGCTCTTGCCAACAGATTTGAAGGACGATCGATGTAAATTTCGAAGCAATCTATGATGATTGTGGTTGCCTTGCCAAAAGTATACTGGAAACATCTAGGCATTGTTCGCCATAGTTCTTCCCGTTCTGGCCACGATATTAAGGGTGATAGGCGCACATCTAATACTTCCATCCACGCTTTAAAGACACGCGACACAGTTGAAAGAGAAACTTCAAAACTGTATGCTAGGTCTAGATATGGTACATTTAGTCTCAGTTTAATTAAGACCAT